CTGCATATTTGACCATGGTCCACAGACTGGTGCCATAAGGATGACATCAGGTGCTTGTTCCCTGATGATCTCCATGACCATGTGTCGTCCCTTGGTCATTACATCGAATCCTGTGCGGATGTCCACGGGAGTCCCAACCTTAAGACCTGACAGTGCGCAGCATTGACTGAATCTGGCACTTCCTGCAAAGATCTCGAGAACGTGGATCTTTCCCTTACGTACACAATTCCAATGTGCTTGTTCAGGAATGGATGTTAGGTCCTCAACGAACATGTTCTCTGCTGGATGAGGTACTGCAGGTTTTGGAGTTGTTTTTCCCGCGATACGTAATGGCACTGAGCTTCGTCATGTTAACCTTGATGAGTCGAGTCCCAAGATCAAGTCCTACCATTGCTCCTTCAATGGAAATGACTTTTCCCTTTAGCCATATTCCTCCCTTGCTTCCATCGGAACGAATCTTGGATTTGTCTTCCTGCCAGTAAAATACCTTGTCCTTACTTGAAGAGGCTTTGAACTCATTCGGAGATTTTGAGCAAGGTCTCGTCGGATGTCCTCGGATTGACGTGCTTCTTGGAAAGCTTGCTTTGACAGCTGCTTGATCTGGATGGCTGTCATCTCTTCTTCATTCCTGTCAATCGTCAACTGAGTTGGAGTTGCGACATCGAGTTGGATGAGATCTGCTGGTCGTCTTCCGAATGCGAGCTCCAATGGAGTTACTCCCTGGTAGGTGACGGTTTGATTCCTGACAGTTGCAGCGGCCTTCACCAGTTGCCTATAGGTCACTTTCTTCAGTGTTGCACGTGCAGTGCCTGCTTTGATGGAACTCAGCATGATCTTGAGTTGTGCCTTCAGGAGTCGAACTGCTGCTTCAGCTCGATTTGGCCATGGTGTATTTGGTCCCAGAGATATCGGAGTGATGTCAAGGGACTGATAGACATGTTCCCATGTGTCTGTCATGAAGGCTTGATCTGCGACAACTGATTTGGGCTGCAAGTGGTACTGGTCAAAATAGTTCCTGAGGACAGTGATGTTCTCGACTTCTTGCGTAGTTGTCACTGCCTCTGCAGTGAGCAATGTTGTTGCTCCATCCCAGGATGACAAAAACAATGATGTCGAAGTCCGCTTGTCTTGCTTCGTGATGGTGCATGTTTCGCCACTTGGCAAACTTCGCACTCACTTCGGATCTTGTCGAATAGATCGAATGTTGATTTCGGCAAATGAAGTGCTCGGGTTCTAAATCGAAATTGATCTGTCGTCATGTGATGATGCTGCAGGTGGAGTTTCTTCAATTCTTCTGGATTCGACAATCGCTTGTGGATTCTGCCTAGGGCAAGCGGAAGCGATGTTGGTTCTTCTGAGGATGGTGCGAAAGGGTCTGGCTCAATAGTCAACTGGCCCCTCTTGTCGATGATCCTGTCTGCTGCCGATCCTGGACCTGCTTCTACGTCCTTCAGCGAATTGTCTGAGAAGGTGAAAATGGTCTTACCTATCCACAGGTTAATCATCGGTTTATTTGCCTGGGATGTAAGTCTCCAATTGTCTTCCAAGATATCTGGATCTCCACCTGTGGATGCATCAATGATCTCCGTGGCACGTTCTCGGCTGATGTGATCAGGATTGGTTGGACATTCCTTGGCTCCATTTGGTGTGAACAGCGCCTTTCGGGGCGTGATACGCACACGGATGAGATGCTTGTTCTTCTTGTCAAGGATCCAATGGTCCTGCTTTTGAGATCCAATGATCTTAGGAGCTGCTAGGTGCTCCTTTGTCTCGGATGATTTTGCTGCACAACCAGTTTCGCTCCTGGTGAGATCCCCGGAGGAAAATTGATGCTGTTATCATCGTCATAGACATAGTTGGTGAGGCCCTTGTGAGCAATTTCTCCATGCGCCTTCACTCTTGCAACTCCAGCGAGATCGACGAGTGCATGTCCTGCACCGGATACTGGAACTGCTTGACGGTTCACGCCAAAGACCTTGCATGTGATCTTGTCACATTGAGGTGTGTGCTCGATGGTCATGTAGAGGTTCCGCATCTGGCTGATGTTGAGAAGGATCGGTACAGTTCCTTGTTCAAGGATGTCGATGTTCGTACTGCATGGAGGAGTTGTGTGATATCGAAGATGCAGGGTCCAATTTACCCTGGCGGTCTCTCCGTTTGCAAAAGTGAACTTGGTCTCGGCCGGGATGTACTCGTAGGAGATGATGTCCTTCATTGGTTCGATTGCCTGGGTAAAACGCTGGATTGCATGCCAGCTGCCCATAGATCTGGTACATCCATTGTCCAGAATCGCATAGGTCGGGTTGTGCTGAGGGTTGATGACAGGCGCCATCAGCTTTGTTGCCAAAAGGCTGTGATTTGTTGTGACGGACAGATTGTGTTCTGAAACTGTATCTGATTGGATCAGCTTCTCGTGGATGGCCTTTTTCCCAGGATACTCATATGCATCATGGAATGCCATTAACGCTTGTCCTGTGCTGGATGTCTCATGGGATGAGTACCAGCCATGTTCGTTCCATGTCCATGATTGATCCCAGTCTTGGTCTGTCCAAACGGCATAAATAGGCTCTATGGATGGTGCAGTCTGCTGGATGGCGGGCTGCTCCTCCGTCTTTTCTGCGGTGGCTGCGAACGTCTTGGATTTTCCTTTTCCTGTCCGCTCTTTCCTTTGCCACTCTCATAGGATGGATAACCTTTGTTTCCATCATAGGGTTATTGGAATTTTGATTTTCCTTTCTTTCCCTTCTTTCCTTTGCCTTTTCCCAAATATGCCTGGTCGTAGGGATCATAGTTTTCGTTGGCCATATTGGCCTTTCCGCCAGAACCGCTTTTTCTGAAGGGTTTGAAGCCACCTCGTTGGGGACTGCCCTTCTTGTTTCCTGATTTCCCTTTCCCTTTTCTTTTCTTGAACTTGAAGTTCCGCCCCGACACTTTTCTTGCTATGAACGCATCGTTCTCCTCGAGGACCCAGAACGTATCTTCATCGTTGTTTGACATGAATCCTTCAAGCCCTTCTTCATCCTCAACCCAGAAGCCTTCTTCTCCTTCATATTCACCTTGTTCGATGATGAAGAATGTGTTGCTTCGGCTGCCTCCTTGAGGTCGGATGGATGGATCTTGGATCGATGTCCTCGCTGTGATGAAGAGTTCATGGTAGTGTGTCTTCAGCATCTCATAGCAATAATTCTCGAGTGAGATGTTCCTCAATGACATTGCACTTGTGAGTCGTTCTCTTTGTTGATCTGACAACTCACTTTGTAGAATGAAAAACTGTGCAATGAGATTATCCCCGAAGGGAAATGCGTCCCGCTGTCTGTCCTGCATTCCTTGGATATATTGTCTGAGGACTGTAGGATCGTCCTCATTTAGCAGGGCTGGAGGCGGTGCTCGAGCACCGGCTGCTTGCTGATGTCGAGCAATTGTTCTTGCATTTGCGTCCTGTACGGACTGTCGAAATGATGGAGACTGTGCCGTAAAGATTGGCATCAGGTCCATCCACGCTGCCTTCAATCTCATGCGAAGGATTTCGAATTTTGAGGTAAAAATGAGGAACTCTTGGTTCTGCCTTCTGTGGTTGAAGAAACTGAGGAGTCTGTACAGATACACGTTGGTCGCACCTTTCAAAAAGTACTTCTTCAGCGTGTTCTTGAAATAGTTGACTCCTTCATCAAGATCTTGCAAGAGGTCATTTTGGAGGACGGCCTTGTACATGTAAGCATCTCCAGTGAGTCTGCTCTTAAGCAATGGACCTCGCTGGGCTGCTTCTACTGTGGTGATTGTCACCCAGTCGTCCACGAGTTCTTCATACCTGAACCAGCTGACTTTTCCGTCATACGATGGCGGCTGCTTGGCGGTCATCGATGAATTGGGTGTTTCCTCCGTGTAGCTCGGCTTTGCCAAACTTGTATAGGCTTCCATGAAGCCTTCTCCATCTGATGACATCTTCCCTTGGATCTCTGCGGAAAACCCGCTCCGCTACCACAAATTGAGGCCCACTGCCCCAGGTGCCTATCCCCGGAGGGAACTGGAACCCTGTGGTAGTTGAGGTCGTTGTTGGTCCCGATCTATTCCGGAGAGAGTCCAATATGCCAGTAATGGATGATTGGAGGATGGATTGTCCCTGGTGGATTGTCTGATGGATAATCCTGTAAGCGGCCTGCAATGGCTCTTTTGTCCTCACGCTCGGATGGTCGTGATTATGCAAAAGGGGCCTTGAGCCAAATGTTGCGGGAGATCAATGGTCTCAATGTGATAATTCAATTAGGGGCAAAAAATCCTAAAAGCAGCGGGGGGGTTGGGGGGGGGGCTGAAAAGTGATGATTCAATTAAAGGCGCGGGGGGGTTGGGAGGGGGCGGCAGCCCCCCCCATGATGATCGAAAAAGTGATGATTCAATTAGGGCCAAACAAATATACCCATGTCAGGGGCAAAAAATCTAAAAAGTAGCGGGGGGGTTGGGGGGGGCGGCTGCCGCCCCCCATGATGATCGAAAAAGTGATGATTCAATTAGAGGCAAAGAATCTACAAAGTAACTGTCGCATGATGATTGAAAACGTGATGATTCAATTAGGCGTGCATTCTAATCGAAAGGGGGGTGGCGGGGGGCACTGGAGAGATGAACTTGCGATGCTGGATGCGAAAAGCCAAAGCCAGAAAGCCGCCAAAAACCACAAAGCCAAAAAGCCACCTGCCGCAGCGGAACTGGCAATGCAGAGGATTCGAAAAGACAAACAGACAGGAACTGTGAATGCAGAGGATGCGAAATGAGAAGCCACAAAAGCCACAAAAACCCACGTAAAAGCCACAAAAGCCAAAAAGCCGAAAAGCCACCCACCCTGAAAAACAAAAAACAACCTTTAAAAAAAAACGAAGAAAAAATGGCCCTCCACTCCAAACGGGCAAAAACGGCCACGTCTGAAGCACATTCACAAACACAAAAGAAGAAACTCTTCGCGGTGCCTGGGGAAGCCAACGGATTTTTGGTGTGGGACAACTCCCCACCTCCGGAAAAGCCTCCAAGAAGTCCGCGGCCGATGTCAAGGGCTGCGGTGGGCACGGGCCTAAGCCCTGCAAGTCGGAGGCGGAGAACCCGCTGAGCAGCAGCTGGTGCCGGAAGTGCTGGCACGGGGGCGAGTGCTCGGAAGTGGCATTGCCACTTTGGGTGAAACTCTGTGACAAAGTGGGGAAGCCCGGAATGGGGATCCAGTGTGTGGAATTGTGAGTGCACACTAGCTGCCCACTCAGCCGGTTCCACACCAAGTCAACATTCAATTCATGGGCACCCTGGCGCAAGGCTCGGGAGGAAGCCAGGATAGTGTTTGGTGGACCGTGCAAAATGCCTCCGTCCAGTGCAATGACACGAACCTGTTCTCTCAGCCTTGTCGAATGACCTGCACAGTCGAACTTGTTGCAAGGCCACGCAGAGTCGAATTTAAACATCCAGCCCGCAGTGAGCACAAGTGCCACAAGCAACAAGCATAGCGTCAGTAGACGCCATCGAACAACAAAACTGTGCCGTGAAAAAACAATCGTCATCCGGACAATACCGAATGAGCTATGCCCTAGCTACCAAAGGTTTTGGACCCAGAGCTGCGCGAGCAAAACAAACAAATCAACCAGACATGCCACGCAATGCTGCAATTCAGGAAGCGGGGCAAGGAAGGGCTGGCAAAGCCAGACTGGGAAGCACCAGAAACATAGTCTAAGCAAATGCAGCACAAAGGAAGAGCAGAGCAGGGCAAAGGATCGCAGAAGAAGGCAGAGCAGGAAGAGTGGACGGAGAAAAGCGAAATGGGCAAGCATGTCAGCACACTTCAATGCGGATCAATGTACCAACATCAATCAAGCATGACGATAGATCGGCAAAGGACCGCTGAAAAAACAATATGAGACACCGACCAGCACAAGCGTCGGCATTCCAAAACACCGACCGACCGACCGACGGACCAACCAACTAACCAATCAAGAAACCACGAAACCAAGAAGCCACGCAAGCAAGCAAGGCAAGGTATGGCCGGGCAGCATTGGAGGTGCCGGCAGCTCAATTCTCAGAGGATAGCCCAAGCCCATCGCTGGATCTCAGGGTCCCGGCTCTGAAGTAGTTGCCTTGCAACCCGCTATGCCCATCCAGTCGCACCCGCACAGCTGTGGATCTCTCTGGCACCTCCGTCTGGCACAAAATGCGCAAGAGTGGGCTTCGGATTCACGGTGAATAAAGAATCCGGATTCGATGACGGTGGATTGGCGCATGCAAATCACGAGCCTGAGGCAGTCAGATTGAACTTGAACTCTAGGCAGTTGAATGACCAACACAGATGCGAATTACTTCAACCTGATATCCGCAAGTCTTGACACTGCGCTGACTCACTCATGCTATAGCCCTGCCTCGAGAACCACCCCATGCTCACCAACCTTGTAGGACTCCTGTCTCAGTGTCTGAACAGAGATTGGGAGGACCAAACCAAAGGAGCAGCGCCCAACCAAACAGCCAGCCCAGCGAGCAGGGCATGCAGAGATCTTGAGACAAACAAGCAAAAGCATATCTTCTGTTCACATTTCGATGGAGCACAATAGACACCCAAATCGAAGTGCTCGAAACTCGAATTTGTATTCAGCACGAAAGAAAAGGAAGTTTCAGTATGTACTAGAGTTACTAGAGGAGGCAAGCAGGCAGAAACAAGACGTGATCACAGACCAAGCTGAATACGGGATGCCTGCAAGGATCCCAAGAGGATTGGAATGAGGAATCCTTCGACATGCAACAACCAAGTGTTAGGAATGGGCATGGCACCAGCACGTTGGCCGAAACTTCCTGCAATCTGCAAATCCGCTGTGATGATGGACACTTGTTCAAATGGCAATGAAGCTCATGTGGGGCAAAGACAAGACGCCTCACACGCCATTGTGTCAGGATGCATCCGAACCCTTCAGAAATTCAAAGCGGGTGCTCACTTTCCCGCACCAACCACACTGCTGGACGCAAAGGCCACTGGGAAGGCCATCACAAACAGCAGCCTCGTGGTGCGCCGGGTTGTGCCGGTGAACTTTGACCACCACCCGGTCCTTGCGAAACCATGGGGACTTTTGTGGTGGCCTCTGGCCACTCCTGCTGCTTTATTTTTCAGACGCACACACAAAAGCTACCGTTCGGAAAACGCTATCAGAGATTCCCCTCCCACAGTGAAGCATACCTGGAAGTCATTCTGAGGCTGCGGCACCTGGCTTGAAGCTGTGAACGGCCGCCATCCGCAAACGGCAGGTTGCAGCTTGGCTTCGCAAAGCCGGTTTAAGGATGCACTGCTTGTTGCATTGCAATTCGACTGCTTGGCTTGGCTGGGCAGCAAGAGCTCAGTGAAAAAAGGGATCTTGGGGGCTAAGTTTGTCTGCTACACATGGTAGAGCGGTAGCACAATGGGCTGGCATCCATGGTCCACAGAGCAGCTAGTAGCCATCAGCCTACAGAAGCAACAAACTTGATAAGACACTCATGCACACAAACGTGGCACTGCTCCGCTAACCGGCCGGTGTCGCTTCCCTACCACGCTCCAAGTGCCCATCCCGCCCGCGAAGTCATAGGCCTTCCGCTTGGCCGCTTGGATCCCGCCTGGCCGATGGAGGCCATGGCCTGGCTCAGCCGCGCCTCGAGGTCCTGGACCTGAGACGCGCGAGCGGCTCGAGCTGCGCGTGCAAACCATGGAACTCCGCACAAAGATACACAGGCTTGCAGTCCATCACGTGTTTACCTTTATTTATGTACATACATATAGATATGCTAACCCCCCCCCCCCATGATGCCCCCGACTCGTTTTATTTGAGCTGGCAAGCTGCAGTCATCTGACGACGTCTGATCAGATTTAAGAAGGGATACACAGATTCCATGCTACCAGTGAGGTGTGAAAGCATTTCCTCTAGTGGACAAAGATCAACTCCATTACAAAAGTCCGCGGAAACAAGCATTCCAAGCAAAATGTAGACATGCTAGTCCCCACTGCAAGTTCTAAAAACTGGACCACCACAAGGAAAATTGGCACTCCTGCCATACACTTTCACCACGTTGCGCAGATACTACAACGCGCGCCAAAGAGATCTATAAAGCGCTGCCTACAGCTTGGAGGGGGCCTGGACGCCCTTACAGAATCCTCCTCTTCTTGCAGGAGCAAGATCACCCGGAGCCACCAGTGAAGGTCTCGAGTTCAAGGATTCGTGCTTAAGGCCTATAATATAGCATACTATAGATTCTACATACAGTACTATCGAGTTGGGATGTAGCGCTCGGACTCAAGCCTTAGGGTTCAAGGCTTGGATACGAATGGACCTGGTCGGGGTACCCTTTTGACCGTGTACTATGCTATGCTATAGTATACTATACGATTGTATACTATAGCGCGTTATAGTATAGTATCCTGAATCGACCCGACCCTGCAAATTGTCACAGCAGGTCGTGGCGGGGCTATCGCGCTATGTAGTATTGCTATGTGGGAATAGCAGTTTCTGCAAGTATGAGTGTGGTTGCTGCCGCTGACCATGTGTTGGATGGGATCGCTTGAGCGCGGGTCCTGACCATGTGTTGCATGAGATCACTTGGACGGGGGTGCTGACTGCTGACCAAGAGTTGACGGATCACTTTTGCGGGGGTGCTGAATCACTTGGGCGGGAGTGCGGACCATTTTGCACTCTGACCCGATAGCGCGATAGACCCTTTTGTTGAAGCCACGCAGCCTGACCCAGGTCTGGGTCACCGTCCCTCGAGGAGTGGATGGGCGAGACTTGACAAGCTTGCAATCAAACTGTAAACGACCCTGCAATTATGGCTCGGCCAAGCTCCGACCACGCTGCGCGTGATCGCGGCTGATCCTTGGTCCCGATCTCATCCATGCAGCACGTGTGGGGAGGCGTCCATCGGCTTCCGTTACACGTGGCACACCCGCCCCAGTTCCACGGCATCACCGCCGCCACCCGGCGATCTGCGTTGGCCCAGGAAAAGAAGTCTACCGCGTCACGTGCGCACATGTCGTCGTAGCAGGTCTTGTTGCAAACATAAGTGCCATTGGGGTAGTGGTTCACGTTGCTGCCAAAGGAGCCGGGTACCAGCATAACTTGCTGCTGTGCTGTGAGGTTGGGGAAGATGTACAGGTCGTAGAAGGCCCTGACATTATCTTTCACCCAACCGGTTTCGAAACCATCCATGTGATATACGTCAACTGAGAACCAGTCCAGAGCCTCTGGGATCCGGAAGTCAGCGCAGGAATTTCCACAGCTATCTTTCTGTTTGGTTGCAGGAAGACTGGCCTCATTGTACCAGAGTATGGCCTGTCCTCGAGGGAAGCTGGCTCGGACCGCGTTTGCAGCTGCCTCCAACGTCGTCTGGCTCATGCAATTCCACCGCAGCTCATCTCCGAGATTAAACCCCAAAAGGGTCTGGTTGGAAATGAGATCGCGTGCTTGGCTTGCTACTTCCTTCCAGCGGGCTTCACTATCTGGGCGCAGCTGCAAATTGTCCGTGAAGAAGGTACTTTGAACACTCAGCAGGCTCCTTTGGCCATACTCTGCTGCCTGCAGGGCATCTGTGAGGCTGCCAGCTTGGTGCAAGTTGGTAAAGGCTCCCGTCACGTGCACATCGTCGTCATAGAAGCCGAAGTACTGGGCCCTTCCCCACACACAAGGGCTGAGTGCAAGGAAAGCCCAGGATAGTAGGGCACAACTCCCCATGGCTGTGTTTATAAGCAAATCGGAGGATGATCGATGTGCCGTTGCCAAAATATGCGGTTGCCGCAAGGACAAGCAAAATTTGTGAGTCCCCTGGTCCTTTCTTGGGGAAATTCAGTGAATCCCTATCCCAACAAATGGACTGTTCACAACTGGATATTTTGACCGAACCTCCTCTGAGGACTCCAACGCAACCAAACTTGAATATCCGTTGGTTGACAACACCCCGGGCTGCAGTGAAGATCTATTGGCATCTTTGAATGTGCGTGGGGCGCCCCTCCCCCACATCGTTGGCGCCTTCTGAGTGAGAGCTTCCCGGCCTCACGTCAGGAGTGTGCCAAAGGCCGCTGCCAAAGGCAACATGAGTCAAGCATCAAAACCTGGTCCTCAAGACCCACGGTTGGGCTGTCGCCTACCCTGGAATTAACTTGGATTGGCCTGCAAGGAACGCCCGGCATTTCTGGGCCCCTGCTCTGCTCCCGTCGCTCTTCGGCACTCGGCAGGGAGCCTGCAGGACAGGAAGCAGAGCATACCTTTTTGATCACACAAAGGGCCCTGGCACAAATCATTGCACCGGAACTAAATATTATGTATATATATATATGTGTGTGTGTGTGTCTTCACCAACTGGAAGATTAGGCAATCCCCGGCAGTCAAAAACCCCCGCCGCGCCTGCATGACTCACCAATGCCTCGGACTTGGAGAAGGCGGCCTCCTCACGTCATGCGGCCCCTGGATATGTACCTTTTGGAAATGGAACAACTGATGGGAAACCATGATGTGTTGATGGAGACTTTTGTCCACCGGTTTTGAAATGGGCTATGAAGGCGACGTCAAAGCCAAGCTGACATGGCCTTCACTGTTCCCGCGACCCTACAGCAGCACAGCGGTGCCTGCTTTCAATGGCCAAAGTCAGCACGCGTGAAACTGCGAGTCCCAGATTCTTCTGCCTCCTGCTCCGCTTGGAGAAACGGTCCGCAGATCAAGAAGACTGCACTGATGAAATTGAACGCTCCAGGAATGATCTGGTTGCGTTGCTTCTGCCCTCGGCGGCAGAGCTCGTGGTTGACGTTTAGCTCCACCCTCACACTGCGAGCAGTGCGCACCCGGGGCTGCAATTTGAGCTCATACAATCGCAGATCCTGCGCTGGCGCTTATGGCCGCTCTGCCGGTGAGCACTGTGGTCGAGCTGGCAAGGCTACACACTGCATGCACATTGCTTTTTTGTCTGCCCCTTTGTGAAGATACTGAACTCAAGTTGAGCATCCAGTGGTTGCAAAATGGAACATAGGCACGAGCCTGGCTCTTGCCTTTTGGTCAAGGCCCAGGTATTTTGCTTCTGCGCAACTGCTGAAGAGCCATACAAAATACCTTGTGATTTCAAGAGACCTTTCTGCTTGCGGCTTCAGAAGTTGCACGCCTAAAGCCGAGGTCGCTATGCCTTGAACACAATGGCATGCATTGGGGATGGTATGGTCTCTGGTCTCCTGGGCAATGGCCAGGCAACGTTGGCACCGTTTTGCTGGGGAGGTCTGCGCTCAGCTCTGATTCAATCAGTTGAGATGGGATCAACTGTGAATTCCCGGACCCAAACAGAGGCGCAGAGACAATACAAAGACAATCTGGCCAATTTCCGGCCAGCAGGAGGGCTCAGTTCCTCTCCCGTCTCTATGGTGCCTTGGCATTGCAAGTGGCTACCGCTGGTTGTTGAGACATTGGCTTGCGACTGGTCTGGTTCCAGCATTCTTGCACTATGCCATGAACAAACAGCCAACACGTTTCACCCTGCAGGCTCTGGCGCGCAAGAAAAACAAGCGTTTCAGGCCTGCATTGCCTTCTGACATTGCCATGGCTTGGACGACTCAAGGTGCTACAACAGCTTTGCGTCTTGCCAGATTGTCCTGCCACGTCACAGCAAGAGTGGGAAGCCACCGCTTTCCATTGGGGGCCGCGTCCTACCCAGGACCAGACGAAAGTCAAGCAGGCTGCAAACAAGCCTGACCAGGCTGCTAAAGCAATGCAAGAAGCTGGACAGCGTAGGTGTTGCAAAGCAATCCTTGGGCAAGTTGTTCAGCGCGGCAGTGAACTCTTGCATGGCTGCTGTCAGCCTGTCAACGCTCTGAACAATTGCTTCCTTAGTTGGCAGCCACAAGACTCGCTTTATGGCAGCAGGTGTCGGAGAATCGTATCGTGAAGAAAATTTGCCCCTCAGGCCAGTCTCAGGGTAACCGTCTTCCAAACCACACACACACACACCAGAAAAAGTGTCTGCTCAAAAAGGCCAATGAATGACACATCCTGATTGGCAAAAGCAGTAGGCAACGGTCGATATCCCCTTCCAATCATATTACTCATCATGTGTAGTCCTGCACTCAATTGGTACCTAATTATTCACCTTGCGGCGAGAAAAACGTCTAAAGGTGCCAAGAGGCGGACCGGTCGGTCACGGTCACCTGCGCTGTGGACCAGATTCGCTTCAGTCGTTGTTTTTGTGGTTAGGGATTGAGCCAGGCCTTGACAGGCATAAACGGAAGAACGTTTTGGGCTCATGGGGTGTCAAATTGCTGCTGTTCCAAAGTATAGGTTACAAGGAGGACACTTTGCCAAAACTGATGGGCTTGATCGGTGAAAGCCTAAAATGGCGAATGGCCTGCCTGCCACTTCACAAAACATGGTAAGCTGGTGACCGACGTTCGCTATGCATGTAAGCATTCCCGTGTGCCAACGAGCTGGCTGCCAGTGTGCGAGCCGGCAAGCGTGCGGAATGCTCGCGCCGCATGTGGGGTGCGCGGGCGTGCGAGCCGGCGAGGTTGGCGCACATCTTCAGTGCGCTCTGTTTGCGTGGGGAGGGGGGGGCGCGTGTGCGAGTGCGCGCGTGAGAGTGTGCGTGTGCCTATACTGTGAGGGCAATTGTGAGCGAAAGTGCGGGCGTGAGTCTGCATGTGCGCGTGCGTGTGACTGTGTGTGTAAGTGTGAGTGTAAGAGCGCGTGTACGTGCGAGTGTGAGTGCGAACGCGCGTGCGCGCGTGAGCGTGAGTATGAAAGTGAGTACGAGTGTGAGTATGCCTAAGCCCGCGCGCACGCGCACGCGCATAGGTGTGCGTGCGCGTGTGACTGTGAATGTGCGCGCGAACGCGTTTGGGTGTGTGTGTGTGTGTGTGTGTGTGTGTGTGTGTGTGTGTGTGTGTGTGTGTGTGTGTGTGTGTGTGTGTGTGTGTGTGTGTGTGTGTGTGTGTGTGGGTGTGTGTTTGTGTGTGTGTGTGTGTGTGTGTGTGTGTGTGTGTGTGTGTGTGTGTGTGTGTGTGTGTGTGTGTGTGTGTGTGTGTGGGTGTGTGTGTTTTTGTGTTTTTGTGTGTGTGTGTGTGTGTGTGTGTGTGTGTGTGTGTGTGTGTGTGTGTGTGTGTGTGTGTGTGTGTGTGTGTGTGTGTGTTGGGTGTGTGTGTGTGTGTG